TATATTTCATTGTATCTGATTTATCACTTTCACGGGTTTATTACGAATCAACTTAACGGCCTGCTCCCAGTTGGCTTGTTAGCTCAATTGGTAGAGCGCTGCACTAGTATCGCAGAGGTCAGTGGTTCGAATCCCGTACAGACCTGATTTTTTTCAGGTCTGATTTTCGCTATTGCTTAAATAGCGCTATCTACTGCGAGGATCGTTCACCATATGTGCAAATTTCTTTGTTATCATGCTAAGTAGATACTGGTCTCTATCACAACAATGTCACCCTCAGCCTCACTTCAAATCAAAGGCTTGACAACTAAGTACACAACTGTAAAATGGTCTATTGAGACCTTCATGTAAAGGGTACAGTTCATGCATATCGGTTTTCAACCCAGCAGAAGCACTTAGCTTGAAAATGAGAGGGGTCGAGTCTTTTAGCTCGGGTTCTGTCGGTCAATAAACACACGGGATTGGTGCAGAACGAGATCGAAAGTCTTCATACTACACTCAGAAGCGTATTAAGTTTTTATCTTACAGCCATCGCCTGCGTTTATTTAAAGGAGAATCACTCATGTCAATCTATGACGATCATAATTATCACTGAATAAACGTGCGCCAGGATGAGACCTAATTTTATGTCTGATACCAGGTCAAAAAGGTACACATACCACTCTGCTTACACCAAAACTATCTCAAACAACATTCAATTTGCGCAATTGACCCAGTGTATTACAAGGATACAAGTATTTGGCCTGTGTTTTGTCTAATGGCATCCGATCAACGACTTCTCCCTCTGATTCCTCTGTCAGATTTTCTTGTGATGTTTTGTCAAGTTTTCCATGATCCAGTCTACAAGTAAGAGAGAGAACTGGTAAAATTTTTTTGGAGCAATGAGTAACTTAACGTAGAAGAGAAACGGTGTCGGAAGTGATCCGAAATTGCGTTGGTTTTGCTCCACTTTGCGGTGTCTCGCGCGCTTTACCGACACCCTCCATCTCTTTCTTCCTCAACACTACATCAATTCTTATCCAGAGAACAAATATTTAAAATTTCCATTTAAAACAATGCAACGGGAGTTAACATGACAAACCTTAAAATATGGCGTGCACAGAGAACGACGGTGTCTTCAGAAATTCCACTTATGTTCTCAAACGATTCCTCCAGTAACTCCTAAAAAATCAACACGAACATTAACCCAGTACGAGCACAACTGTCTCCTAATCCATTCCATATCAATGGTATCTAAAAGAGGTTAAAAGACAGAGACTCTGGTAAAAAAAAAAAAAGAAACCAGTCGCCTGAGCTGAGACGTCCCTTTTCAACTTTCTTACGCCCCATTCATCTCTGTCCTAAACAACTGGATGGACGATTGAAGATCACCCATATCCGGTGCGTCGCTGGAAAGCTTTACAAGGTAGAACACGAGTCTAAGAAATGACGCTAAAAGATATTCCGGCAACCAGCCTCTTAGTATGGCGATTAAAGTACACGGTACATATAAGAGAAAAAACACTCCGCAAAACAGCGCTTACAAACTTTCCCTGTCATAGCTAGCACTTGACACTTCTCGCCTTCACGGTATTTCTTAGAGTTTAATATCGCGGTTAAATAAGCAAATATCTTTTCAAATTCACTTACCAAGTCATTCTTCTCCAGAATAGCATTCACCAGATCTTTAATGCAACTTAAAATATAAGAAGGATGTAAATCGCAAAACTAGACCCAAAACTGTAGCAGTAAGGAGTACCATTGTAGCCTATAGGCTCTCGGCAGGAAAGCAAGAAACACACACACGAGAGAGAGAGAGAGAGAGAGAGAGAGAGAGAAGTTACCCGCAAGTATCATTGTGTACCCTTCTACATACCTGGATGGAACACACTTTGTTTTGAGGAGTTCAGATATAGAGTCCCTCGCCCAAAAGCTTTTCTCTTCAGCGCACCTTGACAACACGCTGGATATAAAATGTTGTGATAATACTTCTGTCCTTTTACCAAACTAGAGGTGACACAAAATTTTCAAAATTAACCTGCTGAAATTCCTAAATATAACTCAATCAACTTTTTTTACTGATATAACATTAGCTACAAACGCGATGAGAGTAGAGGAACAGAGCTATCATCAAATGGAAAATGTTTTCGTCCAAGATTGTAAAAATTTAAACAGTTGTCAACATTTTCTAGAGTCTGTCATTTATAATTTGCGTTAATCATCACTATTCTTTGGAGACTTTTCGACTGAATATCACCAAAACCATATTCAAAACCAATAATTAGAAAGGGGGTAGGGGGAAAATGTTTGGGTAAAATTTTTTCATAAAAACAAATATCATTGCGCGTCTAAATCCTTTTTGTCACTGATTGAATGGTACTAGCCAAATACTAACTTAAACCCGAAAATAATTACGCTTTTTTTTCTTCCTTTTTCGCGACATACCTTTCCTCCAAACACAGGCACGGCTTTGCTAGAATCCAGTGATTGATTAGAATTTTCAGGTTCTTCATCTGCAAAGGAGCATCGTCAATAAACAAAAATTAGTTCATGTATCAAGTCACGATCCACACGTTAGGTTTGGAGATCATCAAGAGCGTCACCCCTCTCGAGGGGAGGGGAGGGTAAGGGTAAATTCCCAGTAAAGAAACCAATAGGGTCACCTCTCGAAAGGAGGAAAGAGTGAGGATAAATCCTCAGTAAAGAAACCAATAGGGTCACCTCTCGAAAGGAGGAAAGGGTGAGGGTAAATCCTCAGTAAAGAAACCAATGAGGACCCCTCTCGCACTAACTACTATTGGTTTACAAACCTTTTCCAGAAAGCTTTAATTCCATGTATTTCCGAAGTTCCGTAGAGAACGCCTCAAGCGTGGGAGTCTAAAAGTCAGAGAAAGAAGAAAAAATTCCAGGTAGACAGATACCTCTCAAACAACAAAACGAAAGTTGAGGGTCAAATACTCATACGATGCTAAGATCAGTGCTTTGTTCCAAGCTTGTGACATATGTTTACCATCCTTCTTTACTTGACGAATGCTCTGAACCTGCCTGAAGACTGTTCTGTTCTTTTTTTTTTTTATGCTTCTCTACACAAAACACTTTTGCTATTTTATGATTCTTGCGGTAAAAAGGCAGCGCTCCAAGCCACGATCACTTTGGTGACGACGACGAACAGAAACGATTTTGGCCCATAAACTTGTAGCAGATGTTGCCAATTTGGCCACCTGTGTTCAAAGGTCATGTATCAAACAAACTGTTATGTTCTTATTACTTGCATGTAGTGTCTGTGTTCTTGAGGTTAGCTGAGGGGTGAAAATTATTTAATCTATTCAATTCTAAAAGTGTACCTTTGATGGATCTGTTAAGTTTTGTAGAGCTTCTTTTTCCACTTCATCATCTCTCGCAATTGTCTCTTGCCAGTGCTTGAGAGCCTGAAATGAGAAATACATGTTATAAAAAAAAAAACACATCTTCAACTGACAACCCGTTTACTGTCTTCATGCCAAAAATTACCCACCTCGCCTGGTCTCGCTAACTTAGGCGTCACAAGCAGCTCTGGTTTAACTTTGTCGGTCCTCAGGAACCTAGAGAAAGTAACAGTTAAAACATTTGAACTCTACAGGCTGGCCAGTCTCCTCAAGCTAGATTGCCAAACGCTGTTCAGGAGATGAGCCCCCAACCTCACTCCTAGGGCCTTCTCCCTTAGTTGGGAGGGAAAAGGCCATGGGAACGAGGTGAATGATCCCGCGCTCCTCCCACAACGACTGGGTCCGAGAAAACGGAGGAAATCGAGCCTGTAGTCTCCTTGGGGCTGTAATTAAGAGGAGGCGATGAGTAATAAAACCAACCAGTGGCTGCAAGGAAGAGTTCCAGCTGGCAAGAACACGGTTTAGGTTAAGCAACTGCGCACCTACCCCTCCCCTAACCCAAAAACGGTAACCTGAGAACAAATTAACGTTGGTTTAGGGGAGGGCTAAGTTCGCATTTGCTCACCTACTGACATTAGAGAGATTTAGCACCGCGTTTACGTGAAACGGCAAAGGTCAGCTTCCCCTTTCACATTTCTCGTAAAATAGTGCGAACCGTGCTCCTTTAGTTTCGCGGGAGCTCTCGTCAAGGTGGATTTCAAGGCGCCCTTGTATGACTAACAAAGAAATGTTTTGGGTGCCCTTTTTCCGGCAATTAACTGTTACTCTGTCAGAGAAAAAGGGAAGAAAATCTTACATACACGGCAAACGCGAGACAGGTTACTTTCACGTAGAAACGGCAAAGCGCAACTGGTAAACGTGAAAAATGGCGAGAAAAACAAGGTCACGTAATCACTCTTGCCGTTCACGTTTCACGCAAAGACGGAGCAAAATCTCTCTAATGAGCCCGCGCTCCTTCCGTGAGGATCGAAGACCGAATCCGAAAAAACATATCAAAAGACAATAAAAAAGATCCAGACAACATCGCATATGTTCAGCAAACAGCGTTGATTTGTAAAGTTAAAACATTCAGGGTTTGAAATAACTCAACTTTAGTTTAATAAATCACCTACTTTGCTGTCGAATCTAGTTGTCCCAGAGCAGATGCTAACGAGCTTGCTTCAATTGAGACCTGACATACAGCTACAAGATGATGAAAGCCAATACAAATGAAGCCTGGAATACAACATACACTACAAGCTCCTCTACTCCGCGAGTAACTGAGCAATGAACTCTGTTTTTCGACGATTTTGTCCAAAGTCTGCCACGACTGCAAAGTACCATACTTTATGTTCCATATCATAACCACGTCTGAAAAAGTAAATAGACTTCACTGAGTTTTGTCAAATTCTTACAAAGGAAATTAACGATCAAAGAAGCTACAGGTGTATATAATATATTTTTAATGATACTCTGGTTCGAAATCTTTAAAGCTTTCATCTAAACATTTCTTTGCAAATAACTAATTTTACCATAAAGTAAAACCCTGTTAATTCGAACTCCCAAGGGAAGCAAAAAAAAAATGATTCGAGTGGGCGGGATTTTGAGTAAAAAGGATTTCGAGTTAGCTGATGGAAAATGACTGAAAAAAATAGGGTCGGATCTTGTTCGAGTTATACGAGTTCGAGTTAGCGGGTTTCTACCGTATGACCCGTATCATGACTGAAAACATCGTGCGCCATAACTCTAGTTTCGGGCGACATAACTCTAGTTTCGAGCGACAGAACTCTAGTTTCGAGCGACAGAACTCTAGTTTCGAGCGACATAACTTTGCGCAAGATGACTTTCGGGCCACTTGACCAGTTACCTTACGGCCCGCGCGTACTTTTATTTTAAAAAAACATTACACAGAAATCCCCGTATGACCACCGTAAGCAATGGCGTAAACTCAGCCGTAGAAAGTTGAGAAACCCGAGCGACCCTGCGAGATGCGAGCTAAGAAAAGAAAGAAAAAAAAAGAAATAACGACGGTCAAATTATAAAATACTTGTTGATGGAGAAAGGTCGAGCCGGACGGGAAACTATCTATTTGGCTCTCCGTCATGACGCACGGATCTTCTTGCGCTCGATCAGCACGTCATGATGGCTACGCAAATATTTTCCCACCTGGCTCTCCCACTCAGATATTGAGAATCGAACAACTTATCAGTGGGAGGACTTTATAATGATATTACACCAAACTATGATAAATTTATTGACTAAGTGGGAGAGCCAGTTATTTGCTATATAATGTACACGACTGTGTACCTTTCAATTTTCCATCAATCATGCTGCTTCCACAGAGACATACACGATCCAGGTCTATGGCTGACATAGCCACGCACTTCTGAATAAAATAACGTGGCAAATGATGGATACAATATCATTATCCCTTTCACTCCCAGGAGAGACTAAGAAGCAATTTTTTCTTAAATCATTAGAATACCTTAGATAAAAAAAAGGTAATGAGTACACAGGAAAATATCAACAAGGGGATACCTGTATCGTTGCTCTAAACCAAATTCTCAGATATGAAATTAAAACAAATGAATGGTAAACAGTGAAGAGAATTGGTAGGGAGATCTAGAGGGTTGAACAGCTTACGAATGAGTGAGAGACAACAAAATGTGAGAGCTGACAAGGATTCAGCCCTTAGGGCTCTTCAAATTAACAAATGGTAAACACCACAGCGCACACTATTGAGTTATGGATGCACGCGGGAGGTTGCTAAGCACGAAAGACGCGTAAGAGTCGCTCGAGGCNATGACCCATGGGCAAATAGGGGACGCTAAATTGACCAATCAGAGCGTGCGCTTTACTTTGGTTATGTTATAATATCCAATGGATGTGTTACCTCAGAGCTAACTAAAGAGAACATAGAGAAAGATGGGTCAACGTGTCATGTTTACAGGCTCAAATATGACCTACACCCTAAATGGCACAGATTTCATGTAATTCACAAACATCCTTCATTGTGCTAGCGTGCTCCCAAACAAAATGTTCTATGCCACTTTAGGCTTATCTTGATAAGTAGTAGTACCTTTACCTTATTACTTTCACTGTGCAGGGGTTGTAATCTCTGAATTGTTTTGCAGGAGAGAGTCAGCATTTCATCACCTTGTTTCTGCTCAAGTACTGTTTCTAGCTCTGTGAGACAAAGAGCCCCAGTGGACCCTATTTTGAGAAAAAAAAAAAACAAAAGAGAGATTGAAGGGTTAGATCTTAGGGGTGGTAAAATAATCATCATTTTGATTTCTCTGAAGGGTTTCCATTTAAGCCCTGTCCAAAACACCCTTTGTAGAATTACAGTGGAACCTCGATTTAACTAACCTCTATATAACGAAGTCCTTGGAATAACAAACAATACTTCAGTTTCAGCCCAGCTAGAGTTAACAATAAAATGCAAGCCACAGAACCTCGATATAATGAACCCTTGATATAACAAACAAACCAATTTCCCCAGTCCCTTGGCACTTCATTAAATCAAGATTCCGCTGTACCTCACTTTTTCCATTACATTGAATTGGTCTTTACCCATAATAAAACAACTCTTAATTTTGGGTTTTTTACACATATCATACAATTATCACATCATACATTTTATATCATACATTTTAGCATATCACTTATATTATATTGCTTGTCAATGTTTTATTACTTACAGTAAGATACTAAATGGTATCCTCCCTCATATAAACACCAACACAATGGCTCGGCATCCTTAAATCACAGTTTAAATTGATATCAGACTTACATGCATACCAATTAAGATCTAAATATCAAATCTCCCTTCTGTCTGCCACACACTTCATATGATCGTGGGTCTGAGAATTTGGTGAAAAATCCAACAACATCCTCTGGGTGATCTTTTTCTTTCTTCTCATCACCGTCTTACTATACAGTGCATTCACATTGTGTAGAGAAATTCCTTTCTGATCTTTCCTTTTCTGAACTTTTAGCCAACATTGAATAAGTAAGGGGGGGTCTGTTTAAGATTTAGAGTGTGGCAGAAACAGGACTTTTATTCTTCACAGAAATAGAACCCTTCAATTATGTCAACTACACTGTGATTTTGACACTGATGGTAGGTACTCTTATCTTTCTTTTCATTGCTGTCTTCGAAAACATTAACAGCATGAGCAAAATAACACTATAAATTCAGTTTTTCAGGTCTATATTACACATAGATTGGTTACGGCCTTTCTTTTCTCTCTTACATCATTATCTGTGGACCAAGTGAACCAAGGGGCCCAGTTGAAATAACACACACACACAAAAAAAAAAAAAACAGGAGGAAAACAGTGACAGGGAAGAGAACACACCTAACCCTTGTTCTCATGCTTCAAAAAGCCTGCACAAAATGTCTCAGCCTGCAACTTTCTAAATTTTTGCTGATAGATTAAGATGCTGATTATTATTTTGTGGCTGACACTTAATCAGGGTTATTTATAATATTAAGCTTTAGTCCATGCACAGTATAGTCTACATTACCTTTTCAGGAGGTGCTACTTTGAACTCCATTGTCTCGTTCTTTGGATTCAGATGAGCTGGTATTGTATGATTTGTAACATTCAAAATGTACTCATTCTTTTCCTATAAATCAGAGAATGCATAAAAAAAAGAAAACTTTATTTAGTAGATAGAAAAACACTTGTCCACTGGAGTTTGCCAGTTGAACCAGAGTGTTGTCAGTAATTAGATATGAAATTACTTTTTCAGCTGAGCCGCTGGTACAGCATTCTCAGTAAAATATATGAACTTAGCTCTGGGTGCTGAAGAAAAAAGAAAACTCCTAGATTCTCCAAATACTCCTTTCCTACACTTTGTAACTCCCAAACTAAAAGCAAGATGTCAAGGTATTGAAAGCCGGAAGTTAACAATTAATAAAATCAACTAAAACATAGTGAAACAGAAACAATAAGGATAAAAAGTCTAATCTTTGTACAACACAACAATGTACTTATGCCAATAAAAAAGTCAACCTTAACATCATAGCAAGATCAACCAAAGCTATTCAGATAATTTATAAATATTGAACAAAAAATTGACCCAAAACTGAGAACAACACCAAAAAAAAAAAGATCTCACAAATTAAATAATACTCATTACAGTGGAAAATATAGGAACACAAAAAAAAAACCTACATCTTTTCTTAGAGACACAGAAGATAGTTGCTCCTGGTGATGGAAAACACAAGTCCAAAGAAGACTGTAATATAAAAGAATACATTCAAACAACAAATGATCATA